TACAAAAAGGAATTTTAACTTCCATTTAATTGGTTGAACAGATAACCTATTCTATTTCTGAGTGAAACATCAGTTATACTTTTAATAAAATAGCTAATAAAGTGTACAGATTATATTAAAAATTAACAAATTGATTTATATACTTGATTCATGACAAGTGGTTTTCAGACACAACACCATACTAGGTCCTATGACAAACCTTTTGAACTGATATTTGCATTTTACTTTTCAATCAGCATTTTGTACCTAATGCTTAAGAGGAACAGTTAGTAATGATTCAAATAATTCAGCATATACATTTTAAAGCTCTCATGAGACATCTATAAATCTCAGTGAATCCTACCAGATAAGTCAATTAAAATTCTTACCAGGTATATACTGCACATACTAATGTCTTTGAGTGAATATTCTAATCAATGGCATCCCTGAGGCAGTCGAGCTGTTATTAGTAAATTGTGCTTATAACCAAGTGAGTGGTAATCCAAATAAGTATTTTTTATTACTTTTAAGATTTTTTCCAATGACATCTCTTTTCTATTAGTATATATATATATATATATATATATATATATATATATATATATATATATATAAAACAATATGTCCTTATAACTCTGCTTTCTGTTCAAAATGCCAGACTCGGAAGAATTTTGATAACTCTATAATAACCATGAGAGGAAAGCTCAAGTGGTCTTTCATGTCTTAGGATCTTGAAGATGTATCACTGTTTAATAGGATCCTTTGGTTGTTTTGCATAATTCATGGCTCACATAAGACTTTAACAAGGAAAAATGCATAGTTGATATGAAGTTTTACAGTCATCCTGCATATTGATTGTCTATTATACTTTTATGTCTTGATTGCAATATTTTTTTCTGGAATAATTCAATTTTAAAAGGTAGGACAAAAATAACCAGAATGACTCAGTGCTCTTTATCTTTGTTTACTCTAGTTCATTTTTTTACTTCAGATTTCAGAGCCAAGGAATTTCTAAGTACTTACAATTATAAGACATTACAGAACAAACCTCCATGATCTCTCTTCAATAAAACTAGAAAATGAATATCATCACTACATCTTACTCTAGATATTCCCTCAATATAAACACCAGTTAAAATAAAAATTCATCAAACTTATTTGACCTATTGTTACTTCCCTCAAATTAAATTTCAAAGAAAAATATGAGAGAAATAATGGATTCATTGATATTTTAAGCTGGTCTTACTTAACTTTTAGTTAAAAGAAATTATCCTCTGTACATAACTCAAGTATTATCCCTAGTAATTGATTATTTTAAGTGAACTTTAAACTTTGCAGTCAAAATTTTCCATTACAAAATTTTCCATTACAATAAACTGTCCATGTTTTAATCAGATACTCTTACTCATTCTTCAATTTCCACTGTCTTACACTAGCTTGCATCTTCTAGTGAAAATAAGTGTGATCTCAGGTTTTCTGAACTCATCTTCATTAACAAAACAAGAAGTTAAATCCAGTTAAATACAGAAGTTAAATACTGTTGCAAGAGTTTGCAAAATGAAATGATAATTATTTATAAAAGATGTGTGTAATTCATCCTTCACTGAAAATGCATCAAAATATTTTCTAACTTAGCTAATTAAGTAATATCCAACTAAATGACTGGGTAAATCATTTTTTATCCACTATTGAAGCACAAAATACACCTTCTCAAACCTTAGAAATTAAGAACAGTAACAAACTTAAAGATCTGGAATTCCATGAAAAAAGAAGACTAGTGGGCTGAGAAGGTGCTTCAGTGGTAGAGTGCTTGCCTGACATGCATGAGGCCCTGGGTTCGATTCCTCAGCATCACATAAGCAGAAAACCGTAAGTGGCACTGTTGCTCAAGTGGTAGAGCATTAGCCTTGAGATGAAGAGCTGAGGGACAGCACCCAGGCCCAGAGTTCAGGACCTACAATTGACAAAAAAAAAAAAAAAAAAGACCAGAAACCAATCCAGTGAGTACAGTTACTATTCACATTTTTGAAGCTGCTCTGTTCAGATGGCTGTTATAATAGATAAAGGCTGAGCTGCTATAATTATATGAGCATGTGTGAAAAACTAGCAAATATTCACTTAAAGCTACACAGCATTCTGTAACTCATACATGAAGGATATGTTTCATGTTGGTGGCTTTTAATGTGACAATTGTAGCAGAAGTAGTATTCTAACTTAATATGTCAAATAAGAACTCTAGGCATGATCAGTGTCAGAATAACTATTTTTAAATTCAATATAAAGATCACATATATACACAGTGTTGAGAAAATGCATTATTATATCAACGAGATAAAAGTGCTCCTGGTCTAATGTGTTTTGTTGTGGTAACTTTCTACATCATTGCATAAAAATGCATCAATTTCCTTTGGGAAATATAAAAGACAATTCAACCTGAAAATCTGATATATTTGGTTAGATCTGTTTTAAGCAGGCATTTTGACTAATGATAATTTCTCCTCTGGAGACATTTCACAATATCTGAAAGAACATTTTGCTTTCCAGTCTGCACATCTGTTACTGTCAACCAGTGGCTAGCCATAGCCTGAGATATTGGTCCATATCATATAATGTACAGAGAACCTTTGAAAGTTGTAATAAAAGTGAGGACAGTTGGGCACAGTGGCACATCCTTGTAATGTCAGTTTTCAGGAGATTCAGAAAAGAATTCTGAAAGTGACACACTGGGCTACATTATGAGATTTTGCACCTTTTTTTAAAAAGACTTTGTTTGAAGGAAACCTAATGGATATGTTGCTCACTCCTTTAAGAAAGTTTGAACGTTAATGCTCATTCCTTTGAAAGGAAATGGTGATGTGGAACGTGAGAACTTGTCTTTCCTTGCAAATTCAGTTTTTATTGCACCCCAATGCCTACACAAACACTAAATCAGTATAGCACCTGTATCAAACATCTGTGGAGCAGTACTCAGAAAACATCATCATGGGACCTTTTCTTTATGACCAAATCATATTTTAAAATCCTAAAATACCATGGCCAACCAAATGTAAAGTAAGCCAATAATTTGTAAATCAGGTATAATGTATAAAGGAGGAGAAAAACTACTAGTCTGAGAAATACTTCCTTAATATTTTGATGGCATATCTACTTATGCAGCATGTAGCTGCCTGCAAATTCAGTAAGGCTATCTTATTTGGAGGTTTCTTCTATACCAGTTAGCTTGATGAAAGAAATGACACTGACATCAAAAGGAATTTAAAAATACATAAGGCTAAAAGAAATTTTAAAAATTAACTTGAAGAAATAAAATTTGATGTGTAAAATGACTAGCAAAAGGAATAGATCCCAGAAATCAGAGTTTTAGGATAGAAAGTTGTTGGGAGCTAAAAGGGAGTCTCTCAACATGATAGGCTTGACTATCTCACTGGAACATCTTGAGGCTGAGTTTACATAATCCGACCTTTTCACCTTGCCTTAAGCAAGCGCCCTGCAGCTGCTTCAGCCAATGAAAAAGCTTCCTTAATGGCCAATGAAAAAGCTTCCTTATTCCAAGCATATAAATATCCCTGTGTGAAAAATAAAAATTGGCAGCTTGATCAGAATCCCTGTCTTGCTGTCATTCTTTGTGTCTCCTGTCCCTTCATTCCTTCTCGCTTAGGTTCACTGCCCTCGTTGATGTCCTGCTGGCCCGACAACTGGCGCCCAATGTGGGACATGAACCTCTGACTAAGGAAGGAACACCATCTTCCAGGAAAACTTGGCCAAGTACAGTCCGTGATCACCTCAACAGACCCCACCCAGAGACAGATCCAGGAGGAGAGTGGGGACGACGCAAGGTGAGTGACCCACCATGGGACAAGCAATTTGTCACATGATCTATTTCTCTCAGACCTCAAGGAGGCCTTCAAGACACGGGGAACTCGGGTTAAGAAAAAGGATTTAGAATTATTTTTCTCATTCATAGAGGACTTGTGTCTTTGGTTCCCCTCTGAAGGAATCATAGATGCAAAAAGATGGCAAAGAGTAGGAGATTCTTTAGCAGATTATTATGAAATCTTTGGTTCGGAAAAGGTTCCTGCAACCACCTTTTCCTATTGGAATTTGATTAATGACATTTTTAAATGTTCTCTATTTGATAGTAAAAATTTAAAACTTGTAAAAACGGGAGAGGAGGTTCTCCAACATGCCTCTCGCCTCCCCCCTACCCCCCCGCGGCTTTACCATCGGTTGTATTAGATATGCCTTCTAGTCAATTTACTGAAAATCCTGTTCAAAAATCTAAAACCTCCCTAAAATATCTTGAAATCCCTCTCAAAAGGTAGATGAACACTTTTATCCTGTACTCCAGGCTGCCCATTCCCCTCAGGATAATTTAAGTACCGAGGAGGAGGCCACCCTGGAAGAGGAGGAGGCCCAATATTATCAGCCTGAGGGCCCCCCCTTACTCAGTCACCCCTACCTCAGACTAAACCCTCTACCTCAAATATTCCGCATCCCTCCTATGCGCCCCCTTCCTTTTGTGGCCCGGCCCTTCAATGGCCCACTGCCCCTCCAGATGTTTTTTCTCTCCCACCTTTACCTAACCTGGCCCCTTTACGCGAGGCCCTTCAACATAGATGAGAATACCTTCAACTTTTAAAAGAACTATGGTCCCTTGATTATGAACTCCGCACACTGACCTTGGCTGATATGCCAAAACTGCCTAATAAAATTAAGGTTAGATCACGCCATCAATCAGTTCTCACCTTTCCAGTAACTCGGAGCCAGACAGATAGGACCTCAGAGGGTAAGGAGGATGAATCAGAAGAGGAGGAAAAGGAGGATGAGGAACAGGATACTGGGGATGAAGAGGAACAACCCACCCAGGGAAAAGGCCAACAAGAGTATAAGAGGCTTAGCCTTCGGTTTGTTGAAAAACTTAAAAATGCATGTGCCCAATATGGCCCGACTGCAAGCCCAGGGGTGATAGGGTTTGTCCCCTCCCAAACTCCCAGTCCTACACTAGCCCCCCACCTCTCTCCATGTTTGCCTCCCTCCAGTGGGCAACCCCAGGCAGTGCAGGACTGGACCTCTGTGCCGCCACCAACACAGTACTAGACTCTATACAAGGACCTCAAATAATATCCACTGGGACCCTGGGACCCCCTCCATCTCATATGTGTGCCCTTATTCTTGGAAGAGCCTCTGCTACCTTACAAGGTGTCCAAGTTTTTCCTGGTATTATTGATAATGATTATACAGGAGAAATAAAAATTTTGGCCATGGCCATTAATGGAATTACAGTTATTCCAGCTGGAACTAGGCTTGCACAATTGATACTGCTCCCATTAAAGTCAGGGGGTTCTTCCACTGCTCAGACCACACCGCGAGGAACTGCTTCTTTGGGGTCTTCTGATGCGTATTAGGTTTAGTTTCTCACTCAAAAAAGACCCACCCTCACCCTGCGAATTGAAGGAAGGGAGTTTCAGGGAATTTTGGATACTGGTGCAGATGCCACAGTTATTTCCCAAAAATATTGGCCACCAAGTTGGCCCTTTACCTCATCCCTAACTGACCTTAAAGGCATAGGGCAGTCAAAAAACCCTTTGGTCAGCTCCAGAGTTCTGACAAAGAGGGTAATAGGGAAATGTTACTCCTTTTGTTGTTCCTGACATCCCTATTAACCTATGGGGCCGGGATATCTTGACCCAGATGGAAGTTGTCCTTGCTAGTCCCAATTCTGTGTTTACACATCAAATGCTCCGTATGGATTTTGTCCCTGGTATGGGTCTTGGAAAATCAGGACAAGGAACCGTTGAGCTCATCTAAGCTACCCAATAAACAGATAAACATGGGCTTGGGTATTCGGATTTTTAGTATCAGCCCCTGACCCTCCTGTGCCCCATGCAGATAAAAATCATTTGGGAAACCCAAACCCCTGTGTGGGTGGATCAGTGGCCCCTTACCCAAGAAAAATTGGAGACTGCCTCCATGTTAGTACAGGAACAGTTGGTGGCAGGCCATGTAGAGCCCTCTACTTCACCATGGAATACTCCTATTTTTGTTATAAAGAAAAAATCAGGCAAATGGCTCCTTTTACAAGATCTACGCTCCGTTAATAAAGCTATGCGCCCAATGGGAGCACTACAGCTAGGCATTCCCACACCGGTGGCTATTCCCAGGGACTATTACAAAATGGTGATTGATTTAAAAGATTGTTTTTTTTACCATTCCCCTACATCCTGAGGACAGACCCTATTTTGCCTTTAGCCTTCCTCGCATTAACTTTCAAGGCCCCATGCAAAGATTTCAATGGAAGGAACTCCCCCAAGGTCAGGGCATTACAGAATGAGCCCACCACACCCTAAAAACCTGGCTTACTCATCTCAAAGCCTCTGCCTTTTCATTTTCCACTCCTAGGGATCACCTTAGTCACACATTGTTTGCCCTTAATTTTCTAACTCTGGTCAATGAAGGCCACTCGGCAGCTGACAGGCATTGGCACCCATCTTCCAGTTCTGCTCGCCCGTCTGTCATGTGGCGAGACCTCCTTACAGGCAAATGGATCTGGGGGCGAGGTTCAGCCTGTATCTTAGATCAAGAACAAGCAGCCCCAAGGTGGCTGCCAGAACGCTTGATAAAACAGGTTAATGGCTTACCACAACCCAGAGGAAACCTTCCTCCAAGGATGATTCCTTTCCTCTTACAGATGCAGCTAGACTCCAGACATGGACCCTCCTGTTTGAAGTGTTTCTTTTAAAGGGGTTTTGTATATGGTGGCCTTGGCCCTCCAGCTACAAAAAATCTCATGACCACTCTTTTTGCTGTCCCCTGCAAATGCAAATGGGGGTTACCCCAGGCTTTTAATTAGTGTTTTGCCATGAGCTTGTTCCAGTGGGAACCCCCCCCCCGCCTTCCTTTTTCTTATTTAGAAAACCCTTCTCCTTATTCATAACTCCTGACCATTCTATGGGCAAGACCTATTGCACCCTTGCCATAAGGGATAGGTTTGCTCTCCTCCTATAGGTCCCTCCACTTGGAGGAGGATGCACCTATGGGAGGAAGGAAAAATGCTCAAATCAAGGGTGCAGATAAGACTGCAGGGGGATGGATCTGCAAGATCCCCAAACCCAAGACCCCTGAGTGGCAAGCTCTGGTGCATGACGGTTGGCATGCATACCCACAAGCCATCTCCTCAAAGAACATGCCAAAGCCTGTAAAATTCCCCTCCCCGAATGAGGATGCTCCCTTAGAGGAACAGAGCCCTGTCACACCCTTAAAAAGAGCAGCCAACAATTGATGGTCAATTTTCTAAATAAGAAAGGGGGAGATGTTGGGAGCCAAAAGGGTGTCTCTCAACATGATAGGCTTGACTATCTCACTGGAACATCTTGAGGCTGAGTTTACATAATCCGACCTTTTCACCTTGCCTTAAGCAAGCGCCCTGCAGCTGCTTCAGCCAATGAAAAAGCTTCCTTAATGGCCAATGAAAAAGCTTCCTTATTCCAAGCATATAAATACTCCTGTGTGAAAAATAAAAATTGGCAGCTTGATCAGAATCCCTGTCTTGCTGTCATTCTTCGTGTCTCTTGTCCCTTCATTCCTTCTCGCTTAGGTTCACTGCCCTCGTTGACGTCCTGCGGGTCAGGACAGAAAGTGACACTAATTCTTCCAATTCTGCACCTTTGCTCATCAAGACTTCAGGAATATTTAAATACTAGGTACGAGATCTTAAGTTTCGAAAGAGTTCTTACTGTTTGGCAGTCAAAGAAATATTTGTTTCAATCAAAGATTGCTTAAGTTTAATTGAGTGTGTATAAAAGGATGGTAAAAGAAATTTAAAAAAAGAAGGAAAAAAAAAAAACGTGTCCATGGCTCATGCCTGTAATCCTAGCTTCTCAGCTCAAGTCTGAGGATTACAGTTCAAAATCAGCCCTGGTAGAAAAATCCCTATGGGACTCATGTTCAATTAATTATTCAAAAATCAGAAGTGGAGCTGTGACTCAAAGTGGTAAAGAGCTACCCTTAAACAAAAGAGCTTAAGGACAGTCCCCAGGCCCTGTGTTCAAGCCCCAGGTCCAAAAACAACAAGAAAACATAAGGAAAAGAAACCCATTTATTATATCCTTTACACACTTCCTCTGGGGTCTAAGACATAATTGTATTTAAAAGTGTGACATGTGCTACGCACATATGGAGCATTTTAATTGTTCATTTAGTCATTAATTAGCTCATTCATTCATTTCCTAATTGCATAGCAATGTATCAGTGTGGTCCTAGACACACAATAAATATCAGAACATGTGCTGACATCCATGCAATGCTCTTCAGATGAATCTGCTATATAGCTGAAGTAGCATTTGATTAGTCTAACCAGAAAGAGCCAAATTAAGTTCAGTTTATGGCAGAAGAAATATTCAATGTAAGAAAGTTATTTGTCATTTTTATGCTTTCCAATTTTCTCATAAGACATAAGTTCAAAGATTCTATATCCATTAATATTGCAATTCCTAATTATCTTCTCAATTTTTTGCCAGAAAAAAAGAAAAAAATATTCTCTTATAAAATCTACTTGTCAGTTATCAAGTTACGTGTTTACATTGATAAACAGCATCTGTTCATTTTGCTAAAGGAAAGTTACAAATAAGTTTTCTGGTTCTCTGAGATAATCTGCATAAATTATCTTCATGAAAATTTTATATTTTCATACCTTGTACATAGCTATACAAGTCATTTATATTATATGTCTATTGATGCAATGAAAAAAGTTATATTAAAATATTTTCCGTACATGTGTTTTGTTTGGAAGTCTATACAACATAAATAGAAAAATGTGTAAGACCCTACTGATAAAATAAACTAAATGGAAAATGGGCTTTTGGTTTAGCCTTGTAGAATGCTTGCTTAATATGCAAAGGCCCTGAATTGAAACCCCATTCCTACTGAAAAACAAACAAACAAACAAAACCACACATTTTTAAGGGAAATAAATTTTCCTAAATTATTATATTGGTTTATTAAAGAAGAAAACAAAGCACACAAAAAATCCACACTAGACATACAATAGTTATGATAGACATGTGAAAACATATAGATTAAAGAAGAAAATATGAAACTTGATATAATCTATAGTTACTTGAACTCTTCTTATTGTGAAAGACCAAGAGAACACACACACACACACACACACACACACACACACACACACACATGCAGTTATGTGCTACACCACCATATCAAACAACAATGGACTGCATACCTGGTAGTCATCTGGTAACATTAAAATATAATGTATTATTCATTTCAGAAATTAGTTTGCCATGTATGCTCTACGCTTATACAATAAGATATCCTAATGATACATTTCTCAAAATGTATTCCTAAATAAATGAATCAAGAACATACAGATATAAGACAAGAGATTTGTTACGGGTACTCACCCTGTGATTTCAGAGGCTAAGTTCCATAAACCTACCCTACATGGAGAACTTAGTACTCATAGCTTAGCCCCATCCACTCTGCACTATCTGAGTACTGTTGTAAATCCTGAAGTCTGACGGGAAACTTGAAGAGAAACTGCAAGTCTGATATCTAAAGCCAGAGAAAGAGTCTACACCTCCATGAGACAGACAAACCAACTAGCTGGCCTTCTTTTTTAATTAGGAGGAAGCTGATTGGGTGGCTCCATCTAGACTGCTGGTGGACCTTCCCTACTCAATCCATCAATTATTTTTCAGTCACTTCAAGGAACACACTCAAGCAGACAGAAATAATGCTTCACCTAAAAGTTCCTTAATCCTGTCAAGCTAACACATAAAATTATAAGGCTGAGACATAGTTCTGTGTTATGTTAGGGACTGAGATTTAAGGCTATTATGGAATGGTAAATTCAGACGGTAACTAATAGATGAGGAATGTGGTAAGCGACTTTACATGGTTGTAACAAATAAGTCACAATGTTTGTTATATACAAATGTAATGTGTGTGTGTGTGTGTGTGTGTGTGTGTGTGTGTGTGTGTAGGGTACTTTCTGGATATATTTTCAACTAAATAAGTTTCTACTGTGCCCAAGATCTTTATATATGTTAAACTCTTCTGTACCTTTAGATTTAAAGAAATATTTAAGTAATTCTGAAGAACCAAAGAGAAGCTTATTATGAAAGAAATGCAGGAAAGGGTTAATCTAGAGCAAAGGATTGAGAAGTCCTGGTCTGAAACAGACTGTAGGCTTGGCGGAGGTGAATGCATTCCACACTATGAAGAAATTAGGGTTAATTGATTCCTTTTGCTTCATGTAGCTGGGAAATTGGAACTTCTGCCAGCATTTTCTATTTGAGTAGATTGGGGAAGAGATCCGGAAAATACCACTGCCCACTAAACCAATTACAACACACTGCCATGCATCTCAACACAGTGATTACCTTAT